AGTGATTCATGGCTGGAACCTCCAGAGAATCCTCAGGGTTCATTTATAGGAAAAGGCTGGGTGGTCAATTTTCCAAGTGGCCTTTTGGGGCTAAGTCTGTATTCTTGGCTGCTATAAACCATGCTGTAACCTAGCCAACAAAAGGAACAGCATTTAGTAACACATAAGAGCCCATCTGTTATTATCCCCAGGACTTGGGCTTCTAGCCCCAACCGTACAGAGATGACTGGCAGAAAATAGCAACTTCAGCCCTCCGTTGATTAATGTCCAAACCCAGAGGAACTGCTTTTGTGGTCTGGTCCCTAGAGCAGAGAGTCATTTTCTTGGATTTTCAAGCTTACAGCATTCCTCTTCACATACCTAATCCTGAGGCACCTAACACAGCATCATCATGCTGACAATACTCAGAGGTCACTTTTGGTATTTATTTAAAATAAGCCATTTGCAGAACATTAAGAAGATGGAGTGATGGAATATATAGACTGTTCTACAACAGTCTTTGGAGCAGAACCATAATTTTCAGTATATATATTTTGTCACTATGGTGGGAGTAATTAGTAAATGAAAAGAGTGGCAGTTATTTTATAGGGTTTCGAAGAGTAATAGAAATTGTTAATGCTGGCCAAATCAATTAGAAGAGAAAATTGAGCCCAAGGAAAATTTAAGAGGGAGTACATGCACACACATGTACACATATGTGCACACACACAGTAGCTCTACCTTTTATTATATACATAAAAATTTAAATGTCATTTGCTGCTAATTAAGTTGCTATGTATTATGGTGCTATGTTTTCAGATGGCCCTACCCTCATGGCCCCATGGCCTGGGCTGATGAGATATGTCCACAAAACTTCAGTTCAGTGGCAAGATGCTAAAACTGTCAGCAGACTGCTCTGAGAGCACAAAAAAGGCAGCGGTTAATTCCACTCAGGAAGGAATGGAGAGCCAGGGAAGGTGCCTTGCCTGGGCTATTTACTTTAGAGGGTCCTGGTCTGGCCCTCATCTACATGTTCCCCCAGTTTCCACACATTCTGTCACCTAATAAATGTAGTCCAGGTCACTGGGACCTTGGAATTCTTTTCCTGTACATCTCTGTCCTCCTTCTAAGGCGTCAACAGGCCTGGCCTCTGGATCTGTTCTCCCAAGGACAGGCCGTGCCAACAGCATGACCCCACAGGCCAGAGGGGTGTTTTAGATGAACTCGAATTTGTGGGCTGGGGTATTCATATACATGCATACAAGACTCCTTACAGGACAAAGCCAGGAATAGAAAGAGAAGAGAGGGGCAAGGAATGGGGCCTAGAGGTCATTTCTTTCTGTTCCCTCTATACAGGCCAAAAATTCCAAATTCAAATCAGGCCTCCAAGATTGTTATAAAGGTACATGTATCAGGTAGAGGGTAGCACCTGAGTATTTGAGTGTGTGGTGTAGGGCCCTTTATTTGCACTCTATCCCTAGGTCCTGCATGTATTAGGGTGGGCTATGGGGAAGGCTTCCCAGAAGTAGAGCTCTTTGAGATGGGCTTTGAAAGCATGAGCATCCTCTCCATGTTTAAGCCACTGTGGGTGATTGGTGGCATGTCGCTGGGTCAGAGTTCATGGTAGAAGAGGCAGTAGTTATGCCAGTCAGTGAAGACCCTGGAATGCCATGGCATTGGGATCCCAGCCGTAGGCCATGACAAACCTTTGAAGTCTTGACATGATTAGATAGGACAGCTTGGAAGCTCTTTCGGCGGTCCATGCCATGAGGTTATGGTCTCAACAAAGGCCGTGTCAGCTTGCCCTCTGCTAGACATCTATGCTTAGTGGCTGCTCTGCTCTCAGTGATGATAAGGCCTTCTCTGAGATATGAAGCAGCTCCCCAGCACGAAAGAGACCAGCCTGAGGAAATGCCTGTATTTAGAAAATAAAATTCCTTCTTATCTAAGAATAATCTGTCTAAAGCCCAAAGCACCGCTTTCCTTTCATGTGTGTGATAAAGTTCAAGAAATATCTGTCTTTTCTGTCACCATCATGACAAGCTTTTGGGTTATCAGGAAACCACAAAATAATAAATTTTTGTTTAATCAGTAAAATTACTTTATTTACACTATTCAAGTCTTCTCTACTCTTTGCTTCAATGGATTTAACTGTGCCTAAGCATATATATTTGTCTCGAGCCAGCTTTCTTTTTTCTTTCTTTTTCTTTTCTTTTCTTTTCTTTTCTTTTCTTTTCTTTTCTTTTCTTTTCTTTTCTTTTCTTTTCTTTTCCTTTTCCTTTTCCTTTTCCTTTTCTTCTTTCTTTCTTCCTTTCTTTCTTTTTCTTTTTCTTTTTCTTTATGGTACAGTACATATAGTATACTCTTGTATGGGCTTGGGATGTATGGCTGGAGTTTAAATAAAATTGGCATGACTGGAAGCACATGTCACAGAGACCTTCGTGTTCCAGAAATAGGACATGAAGGGTAAGGACTAGGAAATCGAATTTTATACAATGGGGCAGGAAATGTGTAAGCATTTTCCATTACTAAAAGACTCAGGTTAAATATGCTGCCCTGACCTAGAGCAGCTGGCTGACACTTCTACCTTATGTGCCAGGGATCTCTCTTGGTTTCTCCGGAAGGACATACAACCATTCCCAAATGCATAGGCAACATTTGTAGACCTGTTCAATCATGTATGCTGTATGCCAGAAACTAGCCCTGGCCCTTCCTCCATAAGTACTGGATATGAATATCCAATTTAAATTTATATATAGGATAGTTTTAGTCCTCTCAAAATGTCTGCTTTCATGTCCCTGTTAGTTATGTTGTATATGACATGTGACAATATATCCATTAAAACATTATGTACAATTATTCAACACTATGGGGTGGGGTGTGGAGGTTATTCAAATGCTAGCCTGTAAAACCATTTAGATTTTTCTTCGTTTGGTTTGTTCCTCAAATATTTATTGACTCAGTTTCTGGCCAGGCTCTGTGCTAGGCTTTGGCTATACAATGGGGTACAAACTCTTATAGAGTTTTTAATCCAGCCTGCAAAACAAACATCTAGACTAGCAATATGAAGAAGGCATGAGAAGGGTTTGCTGGGAGCCATGTAGGGTGTGATAGGGGCTTCAGCCAGGGCACTGGATTGAGGAGGAAAGAGAAGGGAGTGGAGGAAAGCTTTTAAAGGCAACAACAGCTAATCCAAAGCCTCACGAATGAGAAGGAGTATCCAGAAAAAAAGGGGCAATAAGAATTACAGGCAGAGTGAATCACGTGAGTACAACCCTAGATGCAAGAGAAATCTTAGCAGGTCAAGAAAACATTTTGGAAAAATCAACAGGGTTGAAGTATGATACCTGATGGGATCTGGATGGGGGGATACATCTAGAAAAATGGATAGGCATCAGTTTGGGAAAGGTATGTTAAGCCTCTATCTTGAGATCGATGGCAAATCAGTGAACTATTTTAAGCAGAGGAAGGGTTGCTATTGAGGCCACAAGGTAGAGAAGGAATTGGATGGACAAGACTGATGGCAGAGAGAAGAGTTAGAAAGCTGTTGGAATAACCCAAGTTCAGGATAATTTGATCAGTGGTCTCAGCTTAGATGTGCCTGCTGGGAGAGTACTTCCCTGATGCCAGCTTAACCTAGGGCCCCAGGATAGTCTGTCACAGCACCTTGTATTTTGCTATATGGCATTTATTAAAATTTATAATTATGCATTTCTATTAAAATTACTCGTTTCATGAAATGTCTCATTTACTAGGCAGTGAATTATTCCACTATGGCAGGAATCTGCTAGACTTATTAGCAGCTTTAGCACCTACAATACTACCTTGCAAATAGGAAGGACTCAATAAATATTTGTAAATAAGTGAATGGAGAAATGAATGGAAATTAATGGAAGTGGACAGATCTGTGGCATACTTGGGAGGTGGAATCAGTAGGACTTGGTGGTTGTTTGGAGGAGGCTAATGATAAGGGAAAAAGAACAGTCAAGAATGACTCCCAGACTTCTGACTTGAGTAGCCAGGTAGATAATGGTGCCATTCATGGGGAAAAGAGACACTTGAAGCTAGAGAGGGAAGTGAGAGAAGCAGGGTTTTGGCAAAGGGTGGATTATAAATTTAGCAGATTGAGCTGAGTATCAGATTCTGTTTTAATACTGGAAGCTACATTTCAAGTCCACCTTACCAAAAAAGTAACCAACCAAAAAAGCAAACCAACAACAAACTAAAAAATCAGCATAGAAGTATAGATGGGCAAATTGTTTTATTTTTACTGTTCAGTTTCCACGGGTTGTCCTTTCTAATTGTTTTATTTTAGCAGACAAAACAATTCATTAGGTTGTCAGTGTGCAATGTGTCTATGTATTAACATAGTGACTTTATTCCACAAAAAGTCACGTTTTCTTCGATATGAATTATTGCATCTTTATATTAATACAAGCATTCAAAATCAAGAAAGCCATATTAGGGTGTCAGGAATATGGTAGAAATTATTTTACTTTAGTAATATTTTTTCTTAGTACTTTTTTGTGATCAAAATGGAATATTGAAGAAAATTTAAAGGCTGTTTCCTGCTTTCTTATTTTTATTATTAAATATTTCCAAACCATATTTCTCCAATTTGAAGGCTTTCATTGAAGTCATCAAGTATCTTTTGCATATTTATATTGCCCTTTAAGTTGCACTTTTATGGTGGATTGGAGGAAATTTAATATTCTGGTGAAGATATAACATATCAAAACTTGACTTATGAATAGCAGCATCTAAACATTTTATAATGTAATGTTGTTACTCTTCAATAGCAGAGCACAGATGAAATGAAAAAGAGAAACAAACTGAAGCATCTGAAATTTTATTGTAAATTCTAAATTTCAGACTTGTATTTGCTTGAGTTCCAATGAGGGCAATAATCCCAGAATGTGTTGACTTCAGATTTCATAAAATCAAAAAATATTAAATTAGTCCTGATTTAATTAATTTTCCTCTTTGTTTCTCTTCTCTTCCTCTCTCTTTTCTTTTCACAGGTGGTTCAGAAGTGTATTCCTTTCCTAATCAGGCATTTGAAAGACTCAACCCATAATGATGTCATCCTAAACATCCTCATAGAGATAGCAGGCTATGAACCTGTGGCTTTGAACAGTTTTCTTCCAATGCTGAAAGAGATTGGTGAGAGATTCCCCTACCTCATCGGACAAATGGCGAGAATCTATGGAGCTGTGGGGCATGTGGATGAAGTAAGTTTGACTTTTTTTCCTCTCTAAATTCCATTGGCACTTAATCCACTGGGGGCTCTGTGAGCTGCAAATGGGTCCTGGAACTTCTGAGAGCTCCCATTTTTCTTTCAAAACTTTTGCATGGACAGTGGCCTTTGGATCAAGGACACATTATAGCAGAGCTAGGTTGAAGGTTCAGGAAGTAAGGATCTCATTGCTGGAGTGTCACCTGCGGAAGGGAAAGGATTAAAATGGAGGAAGCACTATGACAGATTAAGACCACTTTGTAATAACAATAACCAGTAAAAGAATTTCAACTCATTTCTGGTTGTAGTTCTGCTTAACTGAGGAAACCATCAGTAAGCATAGGGTTAGGCCTCAAACACTACTGATTAAAAGATCCCATAGCTATACTGTCAATAAGTGCCTGCATTCATTGGTGTATTTTGAGCCCTCCGGATGATGTTACTTGGAAGAGTGAAATAAATGTTCATGGTTGTTTAAAAGGCCTAGCCTAAATATTTGCATAATAGAATCTTTTGGCAGGAACAACAGGATGCCATCAGTTTGTGGGGATTAGACGACCGAGAAACGATTTCCAGAAATTCAGGTTCTGAAGGGTGTGCACGCATGCATGTCTGTCTGATGATTTTATATTGGGCTTTAGGACTATTATCTTTTTAAAATAAAAGTAAATATATAATTGATAGAGGGAAGCTTTTATTTTCACCCACTTACATATAATACAGTTATAAAAATCATACAACTCTTAAAAGGGAATCCATAGTCCATCAAGTTCAACCTCTTGATTCTACACAAGCGAAAATTAAAGGCAAGGAAAGTTAAATGACTTGCCCAGACCGAGACTGGGTTAGTTGGTGACCCCGCTGGAATTAGATCTTTGCTATCCTTGGCACTCTTTTCAAAGTTTGTCTTAGAATGGATCTGTGGTTCTGTTTTATTTTATTTTATTTCTGAGATTTGCCGAGGGCCTAGTGAAGGAGAGGCTTCCTTCTGGTGGAGGGCCTTTGTCCTCTAGCTTCCCAGACGAAGGTGGGAGAGCTGAGCTGCCAAGCAGCCTGTAACCGTCAACATGATGGGGGGATCTTGTAAAAGGATTACTTTGGTGTGGGCATGCTGCTTAGTATAATCCCTCTCTATCCACTGCTGCTGGGAATGTCTCACGCCTGCCACCATCTGCCTTCTGGTAACACTTTCCCGTGCCTGTCACCTTGGCTGCCAGGAAAACCCACTAGAGTGCCCAAGTGCTTTTAGGACAACTTCAGCTGACAGCTGTTTGATGGAATCTGCTGACCTCGCAGATTTTTATATGCACCAAAAACTTCAACCTGTGATGTGTGAGACCCTGGAATCTTAAAAAAGTTAACTCTTCCTGCACCTTAATGGTACTTATTTTCATCACAAATACATTTATGATTCATTAATATGTAGTAATGCACATTAGAAGTGATTAAACTTCCCACAGAAAATGTTACCTGTTAAAACAATAACAAAAAACACAAACCACATACAATTATGTCACTGTAGGTTTACCTGAACTAAGGCTAATCTGACAGAGAGTAGCCTGTTAGTGTGACTTTTGCATGACCCTAGGTGGGTGCAGTGAGAAGATGGGATCCAAACGGCCAGTGGAATCACTTATTTCACAATTCAGAGCATCGAAATATTTGCCCCTCCCCCATCTCTCATTCTCATATGTCCATGAAGACATCTATGTTTGGGGGAGAAAATTTTTTTTCTCGTGGTTCTGACTCACCTTCTCAACAAATAAAATTCTAGATCAAATACTTTCCAAATGTACCTGGATATCAGGATTACATGGGGAGTTTTTTTTTAATAATATAAGTTCTTGGGCCTCATAGAAAATCTACTAAATCAGAATCTCTAGGAAAGGAACCTAGGAATCTGGATTTGTGGGATCCTCTGACAGGTAATTCTTATGCAGCTGTTAGTGGATCAGTATTTGAGATTTCATGATGTCAAGTATTTAAAGCATATTCTAGAGAGGGAAGATGGCGGCGTAGGAGGACGCTGGGCTCACCGCGCGTCCTGCTGATCACTTAGATTCCACCTACACCTGCCTAAATAACCCAGAAAACCACCAGAGGATTAGCAGAACGGAGTCGCCGGAGCCAAGCACAGACGAGAGGCCCACGGAAGAGGGTAGGAAGGGCGGCGAGGCGGTGCGCGCTCCACGGACTGGCGGGAGGGA